CGATAGTCAGATAATGTAGCAAACTGGTATAATAATAGTTATGATGGATAACAGTTCAATAAAGATAACTTAAAATTGTTTTGTTTGTGTTTTATGTAAAATAATTCATTCATTGATCACATTTACTTTATAAACATCCAAGTATCACATTTTTATTACATACATATACAATACTACAAACTGACACAAAATTTATTTAATAAAAAATTGTCCATCTTTGTTTATTTTGTACATTTAACAGTCACTTTGAAACTTCACAAGTCTGGTAGTAATTATATCAAGAAGCGTTTCATTGTTAATTTTCAGTGCACAATTTTAGTATCACTTTATAAAAATAATGTGCAATAAATGTCCAGAATTCTACATCATAGAAACCAGAAAAAAATTGAAAACCAAATTCACCAAACATAATAAAAACATCCCGTACTTGTGTTTACCATCATTGCAACTCAAAAAATCCACAGTATTTCAAAACAGGATGCTGTAATTTTAAACAAAGAACCAAACATCGAAAGCTACTTATCTTAATTAAACAAAACAGCCCCACCCTAAACAAAAATTTAACCTTGAAACTTGGATTCTTTGACCCCAACTCTGAAAAGGGACCATTCCACAAATTTAAAAGAACCAGTAAAGAAATAAGAATAAATTTCAAGTTGACTAAAAATTCTCGAACTTCCATGTTTGTTTTATTTTGTTGCTTTTGTCATAACTTTGACCTATATCAATGTACACGTCACATTTCTATATCACCACTTCTTCTTCACAGCAACTTCCTATTCTCAGCTTGAGACATTTGCAGCTTTCCCAGATGCCTTGAGGCATTTTATTAGCCATGCTTACTGCACAGATTAGCCAAGTCTATCACTCAACAAACCACAAGTTAATAAGCTTCACACTCCGCTAGTAAATATTAATCAAGTTACTTAACGTTTAGGCCACAAGTACAAAATCTACTACATTCACTAAAAGAATAAACCTTAATTCTGCGAGCAGGGCAAAAACAAACAACAGTTTCTGATCGTCCCTGGTCACCTTTTGGGACCTGAAAGTTTTTAATCCAAAGTACCTACACATACGTACCAAGGAGTTTGACTTGAACACCCGTGGGGAACCAAGATACATATACTAAGCGGTAAAGCAATCTCTGGTTATGTGACTTCTTTGTATTTATGTGTTTCTGTAAATTATATTACTGATATGAAGAAAAGTCATTATAGAGAGGTCGTTATTTGACCTTCCACCCAAAAATCATGGTTGTATGTTGCATCTGTCAGAAAGTCATTCATGGGAGGTCAGATCAATGTAAAATCATTCCATGCACAGAAAAAAAAAGTCGTATTTAAAACAAAGTCGTTATTGGGAGAGGTCGTATCCACCAGGGACTACTGTATAGTTGATCAAGCAGCCACTAATACACCAGTCAATTACATAATACTCCTTGGTGAAAACTGTGTGCCAATTTCAAAAATAACCATTGTTGGATTATAGTGTAAAATGAGCTCTTTCAATTGACTATGTACATGCATACATAACCTCTACATATAGGCTATAAAGCTCAATCAAATCTGTTGAAGGTGAGTGTAGCACCTGTCAGAGGTTGACAAAATTTATTACTTCTTTCATCTGCATTCATCCAGAGAATTTTGAAATGTGTGGGTCAATAGTTTAAGTAAGTGTATTATAGTTTAGATGTACAAATACACAACTGTCATTGTGTTACTGAAGATACAGAGAACCAAAATAGAGAATTTTCATAGCTCATGTGACAATACATCTAAAGTTTTAAGAAGTTTTTAAAGGTTTATTTTGAAATAAAGAATTTAAAACTTAGGCAACATAAAACTTCAAATCATAACATACATTATAATGTTAATATCATTTACATACACTGAGAGTAAAGATGTTTAAATTTTTAATGTACCACAGTGACTTGCACAGAAAAGTGCTTAAATCTATCCAAACAAGTTCCCCTTTAAATGTAGAGGTCACATAGTAACAATACATATGCATGTATATAGTCATTAGAAAGAGCTCATTTTACACTATAATCTTACAACAATTATCTTGAAATTTGCACACAGTTTTCATCACAGAGTACTTGTAATTGACTGTAGTACTATTGGCTGCTTTATCAACTATAGCAATTACAGTTGTTTCTTACCTAAATATGTTATAGTTATAGATACAGTTTAAACTGTATTTAGGTCTTACTTGTATATTTTAGTATGATACCAAACTTCTTGAAATAAATTCATGGCATAGTAATTCAATAAAATTTCCAATGAGAGTCAACAAATGCGATGGCATGGACTTTGACTAATGATCCATCTGGAAAGGGTTAAGAGTACATGTGTAATTGACTGTAGTATTATTGGCTGTTTGATCAACCATAGCACTTATGGCTCTTTCTTAACTAAATATGTTATAGTTAGTGATAAAATGTAAACTGTATTTAGGTCTCAGTTATATATTTTAGTTAATTTATGTATTAGTATGTTTTAAATTGCATAACTGAAAGGTTTAAAGATTTTCTTATATATACATCCCACTTTGTGTAAGTTCTCAAAGCTTATGATATTACATGGTGCATGAACATTTTGCCCAAGAGTTGCACATGTCTGCCAGTGACACTATAATATGCCGCAAGGGTACTATTGACTTGTGTTGAGATGAAGAACTACTAAAGGACAAGAAATGAAAACAGAATATAAAAAATTAAATACCAGTGAAAAGGAAAAGACCTGAAATTATGAATATAGCCAAAAAAATATCTTTAATGATAATGTCCAAAAAAATAAAAAGGTATGTACATTTTTCTATTTCCTAATTTTCATTACATTGTATTGTTATGACAGCAGAAGTCACGTAACGCTGGTAACACGTCATGAGATTCTTGAAGGATCATGACTTTTCCTGGCAACTGTAGTCTGTTCTAGGCGCCCATTTTTTTTGTATATAAGCTCGGCAAATAAAGCAGAGATATAAGTGCATAGATAGAGATTGAAGATATAGATAATTGAGTCAAGTCTTAAGTAAAGTGTGTGAATCCCTATGAATTATAGCATGTTTTTATAAAAGTAAAGTTAAGTTAAACTGGCTGTGGAAATTCTGTGTATTGCGAAGTTGTATTGAGAAAGAATAAACTAGTTTTATTTAAGAAAGGACTTGTATCGTTGAAGTTTCTCGGAAAGAATCTATACTGGAAATTAACAAACGACCAGATACGCAACAGAATGTTGATCATAATACCTAGAGTTAGTGATAATGGTAGAGTACTTGAAAAACAAATACAAACACTTACCTGAAAAATCTTTGATATTCAATTAGGAGGTTCTAGAGGTTATCCAAATGAAATATGAAACTATAGATGAAAAAAAAGTATTTCTATACTTAAAATAAAAATCACCTTGCACTCAAACAATTCATAGTTTCAGTGCAATTAACTACAAAAGATAAAAAAGATTTTTATTAGAAAGATGTAATTAAAATATCTTTTTGTACAAGATACTTATCAACTTTAACAAAATCTTACCAAGTTTTCTGAGAACTTACCATATTTTTGTTGCATAAATGTCCTTCCCTAGTCAATCGAATAATAATCACATCTGCCCTGGGGTGGAAAGGGTTAATTATAAACTTAATTTTTTGTGCATAAAGGACTTGTAACATCTACTGAAATCTTGCCATTTTTCATGAAAATACAAAGCATACTAAAAGTTAAAGTAAGGAAATGCTTATGGTTACCGTTACAAAGTCAGTATGGTAAGTGTTAAGCCAGAAACAACAAACTTGATTTTGTGATGTATGTACTTACCAGGTGTTCTTTCTAACTCAGATTTAATATATCTTTGAAATTCAGTTTCTGTTTTCACATTCATAACATTATAGTGTGGACTATCCTGATCCTCATCATCACTGTAACTGAACTTTGAAATAACATCATCTTCTTGAAAATCACCATGCTGCTCTGTATTCACTGGAACAAATCACTAATTTAAAACATGATAATATAATCAATAAGCCTAATGTTTCAAACTTTATGTATGTAAATAGTGCTAAAATTACAGAGAATAATATATTTCATGTCTGATTCTATAGGTAAACAAAAAGAAAACATTTAGAGAAAAATCAGTTTCATTTATATTACTTGTACATTCATATTTTGGATTCACATATAAGACAAGAAATTATTATACAGTAAACAACCAATAACAACTTTCTTATTTAAACACTCAAAAAATTATTATTCACAAAACACCCTATAACCACTTTCTTATTTACACAAACAAAAAATTATTTTACAGGAAATTTACAAGCAAGAAAATTAACATTTCCATAAAGTAAAATTGTATTTCTGATAGATACTTAGACGAGAGATTGATATTCCAGCATCAAATGAATGTAGGTCAAATACGTCAGATGGATGCTATAACGACAGGTGGAAGTACTTACTCATACTCCAAGGTAAATCCAAGTATCACCTAGCTGAACATATTCACCAGGAACTGTTTGATAGATATGGTAAAGAGGTGTCCTGTAATACACTTCTAGTTAACATTCTAGCCTTACAAATCAAACTGGTCTCTTACTGGAGGGAAGAACCATTTGCAGAGGAATCTCTCTATATCAAGTTCCCCAGTAGCTTAGGACTGGAGAAGTTGGAGTTCTTTTGTCCTCCACTATAAGAATGGAGTCAGGTATAATTCTCACACAGCAAGACACATTAGAGTATGCATGGACCACTGTCATTAGGCACAATTACTGGAATTAGGTCACAACAAAGAGACAGTGCAAGAGTTACCAACATCACAAAGACAGAGTGTGAGAGCTAGGTTTGAGTGCAGAATTACATTTGGTTCTTTATGTACATGGAGTGGAAATTGATAAACCATAGCAGTGTCCATGAAATGTCATAATATTACAAGATATTGTTACGCCTCCAGTCGTTAATTAATTTTCCGTAACTTCG